CCAGGGGGCGTCCCCGGCACGTGGCCCATGAGGATGCATCACACATGGGTCTCATGGAGGAGTGACATGTGGGGTGTCACCCATGGAATGGAGTCATTGGGACCTCAACACAGGGCTCATTGGGAGCTGCTGCTGTGAGAAGTCCCATGTGAGACATGTCCCACTGTCCCCAAGAGGGGTCACATGTGGGAGTTGTCCCCTATGGGAGCACATATAGGACACACAGTCTCCCAACAGGATTGATGGGTTGTCTCCCTTGAGGTCACCAAGGCTCTGGAAACTGTGTCCCATAACATCTTCTTTGGCACGATGAGGACTTGTGCATTGAAGAGGACGGTGAGGAGGATGGAGACCTACACATATAGGACACACAGTCTCCCAAGAGGATTGATGGGTTGTCTCCCTTGAGTTCACCAAGGCTTTGGACACTGTGTCCCATAACATCTTCATTGGCACGATGAGGACTTCGGCATTGGAGAAGAGGACGGTGAGGAGGATGGAGACCTGGACATATGGCTGAGCTCTAAGGGTTGTGATTGGCCACAGAGGGTCCCGCTGGCAGCCTGGCGAGGTCCTCCAGGGATGAGCACAGGCTCCGGTCCTGGTGGACCATAGACTTACCATGAGCCAACAGTGGAGCCTGGTGGCCAAGAAGGCCAATGGCATCTTGGGCTGCATTAGAAAGAGCGTTGCCCAAAGGTCCAAGATCCAAGTTGCCCAAAGATCCTCCAATGAGCCCTGATGAGGCCACTGGAGTCCTATACCCAGTTCTGGACCCCCAGGACCAGAGGGTCATGGAGCTGCTGCAGAGTCCAGTGTGGGGCTCCATAGATGATGAGGGGACCTCAATGGAGATGTCAACTGAACAGGCTCAGACCCTTCTCAGCAGTTGGCAGTGATGGGAGAAGCAGTAACGGACACGAATCGCAACACAGAAATTTTCACTTGAATTTAAGGAAAATCATCTTGATTGTGTGGGTGACCGAGCATGGCATCCGGTGATGTCGTCACACACAGTGTTCAACACAAAGTCACTCGTGGGATGTCACAC